TATCGGTACCAGTACCATGTATTTGTGCAGTATCTAATGATAATAACTAACTTCTAAAATCCTGTCACGCTCCACATTTGTCTGTTTTTCCAGTTTGTAGGACTGGAATCTTTGGCAACGTCGATTTCCGACGTGAATCCAGGCTTTTTTCGCACTGGTTACAGACGAGAGCTCCTCCTGCTGGCCATCTGTGTTGTTTGTTTTTTTCTCGGCCTTGTAATGGTCACCGAGGTGAGTTGATTATTATTGTTAGTACCTGCTACGCTTCCCCACTTGGCAGGCTAACGCTAATGCTAACAGAGAAGCTAAGGGGACAGTTTGTTCCAGGGAGGACTCTACATCTTCCAGGTGTTTGATTACTACGCCTGCAGTGGGATGACTTTGCTGCTCTTTGCCGTACTGCAGTCTGTCAGTGTGGGGTGGGTGTACGGTGAGAGACTAGTTAACACGGTTCACTCGTCACCCGCTGTCAGAGATCTTCCTCACCTCTGTTGTCCTTCTTTAAGGTGCGGACCGCTTCTATGACAACATCCAGGACATGATTGGCTACAGGCCTGTGTCCCTGATGAAGTACTGTCTGAAATATGCTACACCCGTGGTCTGCACGGTGAGCTGAGAAAAAAAAGAAAAGAAACGTGTAAACGACGGCTGTCAGGTTGTGAACCTACAGCACATTCCTCACTCAGCCCTACGGTGGCGTCATGCCTGAACAAATCCACATCATGAAAACTCCATAACAGCCACAGAAACCATTAATCACATGCAGAAATGCAGCCTAACGAGTCTTTATAAACTAGCTTTCACCTTTACAACAACAACTGTGACATAACGTACATAAAAAACATAAATAATAAGGTGATTAAATGATGGGCTTTTCATTATCGGAGGAAAAACAGATATTACATAACATGTTTATATCAGAGCGATAATATCGGACATCCCTCGTAATAACTTGGCTATTTTTACTGAAAAAAAAAAGAAAACTACTTTTGAGATTTTGTTTTGTTTTTATCCTGAACTTAAATAATTGTTGTTTTTTTTTTCAGGGAACTTTTTTCTTCTCCTTAATCAAATACACGCCCCTGAAGTTTGACAACGTGACGGAGTACCCGTGGTGGGGCTACGCCCTCGGCTGGTTCTTCACCCTCTCCTCCACGCTCATGGTTCCCACCTGGGCAGTGTACCGGCTGGGCCAGACCCCTGGTACACTACGACAGGTCAGTCGGACTAACCGCTGCTTAGTCACTTATTGATTAACGTATTGATTTAGTCCCGGTGTCTCTCAGAGGATCTCCAGCCTGTGTACTCCAGCTGAGGACCGCACGGCTACGTCTCCACAGCAGAGGAAGTCTCCTCCTCGGAACGCAGTACTACAGTATACTGACGGCTGTACTGCAGTTTCTAGTCATACTACGAAACTTTAAACTGTTCACACGTACTCGGCTAAAGACATCAGTGGAAAATGTTAAATATATATTTGAAACAGAACATACTGTGTACTGTGTACTGTATGTAGTAAAGTAGTACAATATGGAGTATATGGTGTAGTGGTAATTCCTGCTCTTTTTTGGTCTTTTTGTTTTGTTGTTTTTCCAAAAGCTGTTGCAGTGGAATTTTAACAACCTGTCAAGTCAAGTTCCTGTTCACAGATCTGATGTCTTAGAGTATGAACTTTACTGAGTCACTGTTGCAGGTGACCAGGTGACCAGGTGACCAGGTGACCAGGTGAATGTTGTTTTTGTGTCACAATATATTTGAACAAATAATTCTTTGTTGTTCAAGCCTTGTTGGTCTGTGATTGTCTACTGACTCGTGTCCGTGCTGAATAAAACCCACTTCACATTCATTTATTCGTATTTTGCCGTGTGGCGTCGTCTCATGAACACTCCTCGGCTGCAGGACGTCCTGTACCGTGTGCACAGACCTGGGTTGGAGTTTGTGTCAAACATCACAGGCCGTGATGCGTTTGATTGATTAGCGATGGCTGCGTGTGACTTGTTATTACAGTGTGTAACAACACATCGCTGACACGTTGTTGGGGCGTTTTCTTCTTCCTGGACCGGGGGCATATCTGCGATTCTATAGAACAGAGGAGGAATGCTGCATCAGATACAGCAGTCGGTCTGTGTCGGTCTGTGTTGGTCTGTGTCGGTCTGTGGAAGAGGGGCAGTAAATGGAGATCAGCGCAGAGTTTCACTGCACATCGGCCGCGTGGACGACAATAAAATCAAATGAAAATGATCCAACTTAACAGAGACAAATGCTAAAAATAACCGCTGCGGTCTGTGTTGTTACAGTTACAGTTACAGTTACTGTTACAGTTACTGTTACAGTTACTGGCTATGTTTGAAACGGTTCCTGGTATTTTTTATAGTCACCTCTTGGACTGTAACCTGCACCAGGGGGGAGGAGGGTTGGGGGACGGGGGGGTTGATGGCTTCAGTCTGAGGTCAAAGGTCAGTTCATCAGTTATGTACAGTATAAAGAGGAAAGTTGAAGCCAGAAAAGTAAAAAAAAAAAAGTCATAAAAGTTTATTTTAAAATTTCAGCTCAGAGTCTGGTGGCCGGCTGGACATTCAGTAAACAAAGTTCAAGTATGTCCAGAGAAAATGTTTACTCCCCCCTGCCCCCCCCCTCCCCTCTCCTCTCCTCTCGGCCCCAGTTTTAACTACTTTGCTTCCTCTTCTGTACCTTCTTGTTTATACGTCTAAATGTAGCCTGTATGGTCACTGCAGTTATGGAGCCAGCTTCACAAACGTGCT